AAAAAAAAAAAAAAAAAAAAAAAAAAAAAAAAAAAAAGAAAGAAAGGAGCACTAATAGCACACGGGAATCCAATATCGTACCGACATACTCTCGTATGTTCAATGCAACGTAGTTCAAAGATCGTCCTCTAGGTACTTGTAGATAAACTTAAAGTCCGCTTTTCGACGGTTCATCCTGGAAAACAAGTCAGAATGGCTTCTGCAACAAAATTGTAAATATGCTCGCCGAACTCACCATGTGCTCTCGTAGTCGAAAAACCGATAAGTCCCTTGCTCGTACTCCTCTGTGATCGTCTTGGGCTCTTCATGCCGCTGGAACCACGTCTGGAACTGCTTGTGGAATCGCCAGCTCTGGTTCTTCAGTGACTTGGCCGCCAGGTACTGCCGATACGTCCCTTGTTGGTAGTAGAAGATGTAAAAGAGTGTGTCCGTGTCAATCCGCCCCGTGTCGAACAATCGCGGGTCGTCGAAGATTGGGAGCGGTTCTTGCGGGTAATACAGCGGCGTGTTGTACGGCGTCTGTGGTTTGTAATGTCGCGGCTTCTCAGCATCCCCGGGCTCTGGACACGAGTTGAGAGAAGCGGCGAGCAGTCTTTGGACCGACGCCGACGACACGCCTGCTTCCCCTCGGCTCTTTGTTACTTCGAACGATTGGATCAAGTCTTGGAGCCCCGGTGGCAGGTGGTAGATTGACTCCTCTGATGCTTGGCCTTCTCCTTCTTTATTGGCACCCGCAGATCCGTTCGTTGGCTGTGCTGGTTTCGAATCCGCCGTCTTCTCCGCAGCCGGTGTCGACGGAGCCGGTGTTGATGATGATGCGGCTTTGCTGGCAGCCTGTGAGAGCGCCGGGGACCCCATACGCAGTGGTTTGTCCGTCGGTTCTGGTGTTGATATTATCCGCGAGGCCAGCTGGGCAGAGGTGACGCTGGGAGAGGCCGTTGAACCGGCTTTCGACACCGGCATTGCCGCCGTCGACGCTGGACTGGCGCCTGGTGGGGGGGGCAGGGGTGCTATGCCAACACCCCGATCGCTTGCTGCTGCTGCTGCCGCCGCCGATGCGTATTTCAGCGTCTCACCCGGTGCGCGTGCCGGTGGAGGGGCTGGTTTCATGGAATTTGAGGTGGCAGAGGCCGTCGACGTCGGGTGCAACGCCGCAAGAACTGGGAGAGGTGATTTCTGCGTCGAGGGCCGTCGTGTCGTGGTCAGGTCGATTTTCGATTTGGGTCGCGACTCGGCTTCCTCATCTTGCACCGACTGTGCATCCTGTGACGATACTCGGTCGTTGTCTGCACCAGTGCCAAACTGGCCTTCCTCGTCGCCAAAGACCAAGTCGTCGTATAGCGTTTCGTCCTCGCCCGAGTAGTCGATGTTGTGCCCGTCTTCCACGTAGTATTTGATGCTGTCCTTCAAGTCGGTCACCTGCGATACTTCTACCATGCCGTTTTGCAGTGACCGAAGTAGCATTTCTAGTTTGTTAACGTGCCACTTATGTCGCTCCGAGAGGTGCGTGATGTCGGCTAGTCGATTTGCTTTGCCCTGATCTTTCTTGCCCTTCTTCACCGATGCCGAAATCGTCTCTTCCTCGGCTTCCATCGCCTCGATCTTTTGTTGGAGTTCGTCAACCATGCTCGAGAGGAAGTCGCAAGCGTCGACTTTTTCCTTGTCCTTGGGGTCTAATCGCGCATTCGAGAGGCCCTCTTTCGAGTACGCCTTTGTCTTCATCTCCTTTTCCACAGCTTTGAATTGTTCCATGCACTATAATTTTTTTTGGTTAACCCGTTAGCGCTATTGTCTCGCCTCACCAGGGAAGTTCTACAGGGACCGCACTGTCTCAATGGCCTTTCTTTGCTCGAGCAAAGGCGTCTTGTCCTTGACCTCATTGCCGGCGGCCCACGATTTGATCTGGTCTCGAAAGCGCTGCAGCTTCTTGATCTCCCGCTTCAGGTTCTCCTCGAGCTTGTCGCGCTGGGCCGTATTCGTCGTAGTCTTAATCTTCTCGTAGATGCCTTCAAAGGTTGCAATGCCCTCAGCGACCTTTTTGAAGGTCTTTTCGATCTCTTGCTGCGTCTTGCGCGATGTCATTGTGCCGGCATGCAATCATGAACACAGGACTGACGACCGACCGATTGGGGGGTTAAAGAGGAGAGGAGCGGGGCTGTCACGGAAATGCTAGAGTAATGCGTGAGATACCTCTCTGCAGTCGCACACTCGGGGGTTCAACAATGGCGGTTTGCTGGGTTGCTGGGTTGCTGAGGGGCCTTGCTGCTGGTTGAGGTTGTGCTGTCGCTGTTCTTGCCCTGCAGTCCGGGCATGCCAGAGTGGGGCTTATGCGCCCTGCGGCCAATCGCGTGGCGCTGTGGGCTCGACTCGCTGGATGCGGTGGCAACATTGATAACAAGCGAGTAGAATCATATATAGCAATATAGTATTAAATAATAATAGGAAGAATATAATAATAATAATAAATTTTAATATCATTGGCTATGGCTTATGTGCTCCGTTACGCGGGTATTACTGGGTTACTCGCGCGTAATCTGTACGTTCTAAATTGAAACCGAGCCAGACTAACACTCTATCTCGTCGCCGGCATGGTGATTCCGCGCAAAAAAGGAAAGGAAAGGAAAAAAGAGGACGAGTTGCTGCTGCTACCACTTCAATATGAAATATCATGTACGTTTTACAAAAAAAAAGTCAAAAAAATTATTGACAACGACGCGATTCGAACGCGCGAGGTTTCCCATCACGGACAATGTTTAAGTATGCCTAAACGTGACGCTAATTGAATTATTAGCTGGTTATTCGTCGTGTTGTTGTGCAAGGTAAGCTTACCCATAACCAACTCGGCCACGTTGCCTATTACGATCTCTTACCGAAGAAAAGGATTCTTAGAATATTCGATTCATCAGTGAATATTTTCACCGGCTCGCGGCGTTGATGTTTCCTATACAAGCTTTCCTTGTTTGTCAAGGGTCTGTTTCTGAGGCCGGCTTCGGTTTTGAATGTTAGGCAAGGACGCGAATTTGTACACGACGTTTGTCGACGCTGTACAAGGTGTATCGTCAACTGCCAATAATAACGCCCTACTGGCCTTGCCGCATTAACAGTCGCTCTCGACTCTTCTTCCTCCTTCCTCCTCCTCTTCTTCCATCCACCACACCAAATTCCAAGTCGCATTGCGGTGTTCTAGTTTCCACTGCTTGTGATGAATATTCCATCTGTTTGATCGTGACTACTGCTGGCTGTGAATAGCCGCGATTCTGTTGCTGCCCTTCAGGTATTCACTACAACGGCGATCACTCTGCGTCTTAGACATGGGCTGCTGACGCTTCCTTTTCCCCCGCAACAGGGCTCTATCGTCGCATAAAGTATAATGAAGAGTAACACTCCCGAACCCTGCGAATATAACGCGTTTTCTCATCTCCGCTAGCGGTCCTGCAACGGGTCAAGTCGGCCTCGGTCACCGTCGATAATCAGCTCATCTCCTCCATCGGCCGTGGAATCCTGGTGTTTGCCGGTGTGGGCAAAGACGACACGGAAAAAGATGTCGACTCGATGGCTGCAAAAGTTTTAAAGGCCAAATTGTGGCCTGACGAGACAAATCCGAACAGCGCCGTGAGTCTGCGTTTTATATCTCGATTAATGCGCGGTGCGTCTAATACATGTGGTTTAGTGGAAAAGGAATGTCCAGGACATTGAAGGAGAAGTACTATGTGGTGCGCATATCTAGTTTTTCGAACTGAGGCCTCACGACCAAGTCGTAACTGACTCGACAAGTTTCACAATTCACACTGTACGGACATATCAAAAAAGGCAACAAACCTGATTTCCACAACGCCGCCGACGTCGAGACAGCCCGTCGCCTATACGACCGATTTGTTGCAAAGGTCCAAGATCTCTACAAAGCCGAGCGGGTCAAAAACGGTGTCTTCCAGGCGATGATGGAAGTCGAGCTGAAAAATGACGGACCGGTGGGTGTTGATTACCGCAGTGCGGATGGAGCGGTAGGACTCTGCGCTCTTCTTCCGAGTCGTCGGTTCTCCCCGTGGAATATAGCTTGATGGCTGACTGGACTAGGTTACGATTGAGATTTCGACGGATCTTCCCAAGTCGGACAAGTCGGAGAGTAAGGACAAGGATAACAAGGAAAAGCAAGCCCAGCCAAGAACAAAGATCGACGCAGAGGGTCGGAGGCTGGTTGAGGTTACGCTTCCCAGATCGCTTTTAGAATGAAGCTGTAGATACCTAACTGTATAGTAGACGCTGACAACAGTTACCAACTGATATAGATGTTATATATCTGGAAAAACACTCACCACATGGTACGTATTTTTTCTTTCTTTCTCACATCTACATGCTATACACATACACGTATATCAGCCGGCTGTATACACACAAGAAAACAACGTAATACATATACGCGTAAAAAGCACTGAAGCAATAATGCTATTGTAGAGATGAGATCGTGCTAGCCCGTTCCGGACTAGGACGAGGGGCACCCCGAGCTGCCTGCATCTGCGGGGCTTCACGGCCAAAGAGAGCGCATGGAAGCTTCCTGAAGCCAGTTGAGTCCTTTTACACTCGTGTTCGTCCTCACTTTGGCGCACTCACTCTCTCCAGGACTGACCCTTGCTCTTCGTACTTTTCCTCACTCACCTTACTCCCTACAGTTGACAACTCTCACAATGGCTAACAAAGGTGTGTTTTCTTCATCCTTTTTTCTTCATCCTCTTTCGGAGCGCGACTAGTAATTGACTGACGATGAAAAAGGCCGATCGCGCGTGTACCTCGATATCGAGATTGGAGGCAGGCAGGAGGGAAGAGTTGCCCTTGAACTGGTATGCTTTTACAATCTCATGGGTCCTTCAATTCATCAATGACTCTAGATTACTGACGTGCCGTTTCGCTAGTTCAACGATGGTAAGAGCTTCCTCGCCGGTTGCAATAAAAACCAAAGAAAAGAACACACAAAATCTAACCAGGATAAACAGTCGTCCCCCGGACGGCCGACAATTTCCGTGCACTGTGCACGGGCGAGAAAGGTGTCGGGAAACAGGGCAAACCTCTGAGCTTCAAGGGTGCGTTGCTTTGCTACTTTGGTTGAGACCGGGGGAAAAGAAGTGTGCTAACGCTTCCGCAGGCTCTATTTTCCACCGCGTTATCAAACAATTCATGATCCAGGGAGGTGATTTTACTGCATTCAACGGAACCGGTGGTGAATCTATCTATGGCGAGAAATTCGAGGATGAGAATTTCGACCTCAAGCACGACCGCCCATTCCTTTTGTCCATGGCCAACTCGGGCCCGGCCACAAACGGCAGTCAGTTCTTCATCACCACTGTCGAGACGCCGCATCTAGATGGCAAGCACGTCGTGTTCGGCCAGGTTATCAACGGCAAGAGTCTGGTTCGCAAGATCGAGAACCTGCCCACGCAGGCCGACAAGCCTCAAAGTGATGTGGTCATCGCCGATTGCGGTGAACTGAAGGGGGAGGACTATGACAACGCCGACAAGAAGGTTCTCGACGCAACTGGTGATGCCTTTGAGGACTATCCGGCCGACTACGACGGCGAGCTGAGCGCGCCTCTGGTCTATGATATCGCATCGAAGCTTAAGGATCTCGGTAACACAGCATTCAAAAGCGGCAACACGCACCTGGGGCTGGAGAAATACCAAAAGGCGCTCCGATACCTCAACGAGTTCCCCAACGCCGACGACAACGACCCCAAGGAGCTCGACGGCCAGCTCAAAGCTCTTCGATTCACCCTGCACTCGAACTCTGCTCTGCTTGCAAACAAAAACCAACGCTTCAAGGACGGCAAAACCTGGGCCGGATACGCCCTGGAGACAGCAGATGCTGCCAAGGCTAAGGATGCCGACCGCGCCAAAGCCTACTACCGCCGCGCCGTAGCGGAAATCGGGGTCAAGGAGGAGGACGATGCCCTCAAGGACTTGGAAGCAGCGCTCAAGCTCGCGCCTGGCGATGCCGCTATTAACAACGAGATGGCCCGGGTGAAGAAAATCATTTCGGACGCTGAGAAGAAGGAAAAGGCAGCCATGAAGAAGTTCTTCTCGTGAGACTGTTTAAGCATTTCTCCCCCCTCCCCCCCCTTCTCTCTTACGTACTAGCATTGCTACTGAGTTGGTACCGGTTTATCATGATCAAATAAGACCGAGAAAATTCAACCTTGATACTACTTTAAGCTCATTAGTACAAACTATACCTATCTGCCAGTAATATAAAACAAAGCTACTTCTTATCACTCGTAAACGCGCAACTCCCCATGTCCAACTTCTCCGGCTTAACCTCTGGCCTCATATCAAAATCAAAGATATCCATCGGCAGCCCCAGCGTCGTACACGCATTCGGAATATCCACAATACCAGCGATGTGGCCCTGCACCGGTGCCCCGCTGAGCAGCAGATAGCTCTGGTAATCATTGTACCCGTAGCGGCGCAGATACTCGATCGTGCGCAGACACGTTTGGCGGTATGCCACAGTGGCGTCCATGTAGTGCTGTTTCCCCTGCTCATCGACGGAGAAGCCTTCAAAGGTAAGGTATCGACTTGGACCGTAGTGTGGCTCTACAGGACCGGGCAGATAGATGGGTGACTGCGTGCCCATTTGGGCCATGCCGTCCTTGAGAACGCTGAATTTGATCGTGATGATGCCCGCCATTTCGATTGCCCCGCAAAATGAGATCTCGCCGTCACCTTCAGAGAAGTGTAGATCACCAACGGAGAACTTTGCTCCGGGGACGTGGACGGGCAAGTATACTTTGGAGCCACGCGAGAGGTTTTTGATGTCGCAGTTGCCACCGTGTTCGGGACGGCCCTTTGTTTTCGATTAACTTGCGTACCCACGAGAAGAGATTTTCTTTTCTTTTCTTTTTTTTTTTTTTAAAAAAAAAAGACTTACCGGGATTGTCCGCGCACCCTCGCGCGCAATCTTGGCTTTCAACTCACCGTCCGCACTGCCTGCATGCGCGTTCATCGGCTCCGGCGGTTTGGCGACATCGCGAGCAAGCGTGTTGGCCGCGATGAGCTCGCCCTCACGGCGATTCCACTCGGCGAGGACTTCTGCAGACGGGGCATTGCCTAGGATACCCGGATGGATCAGGCCGGGGAAGCGGACGTGAGGGATGTGGCGGGACGAGCAGAAGATTCCTTCAAAGTCCCAGATGGCTTTTGCTCTGCAGGGCGAAGTGTTAGCCTATGATTATATATATCTATATTTGACAGACCACGAAAAGCCCAAGAAAGAGGTCTTACGGCTCAGGGTACAAATCATCGAGAAAACCCCCTCCGTTCTTCTTGTCAAATACCCCGGTGAACCCCCATGGTTGATCCTGGAACGGCTGCACGTCCTGAATCTCGACGACGAGGATATCGCCGGGCTCGGCAGTCTCGATGTGAAATGGGCCAGATAGATAGTGGATTTTGGTCAGGTCGACATCCCTAACATCGTCTGCAGAGTCGTTATTTCCGATTTGGCCGCCGGTCCAGTCGAAGCACTCAATCTTGACTACTTCGCCGTTGGCGATGGTGCCGACGCTAGGAACTGGGTTGGTCATAGTTTGTTAGAAGCCCGGCACTGCGCTTGAGGGACTGCTGTACATACTGTCTGGATGCCACCGGTTCTGAGATGAACAACATCAGGATTAGCTGTCAGCTACGATAAAACTGGATATAGCTTGCCTACATGAAATCCTGTTTGCTCGTCGACAGGTTTGTCAAAGTCACACTTGACGGCGGTGCGGATTCCCTTGACGCCCATGACGAAGATACGTTGAGATATAGTGATATACAGCTGATGCAGGAAGGTGATAAATACCGACAGGACAATATTGAGGTCGC